CACTTTGCTATGAATCTTATTTTTCATAGTTCAAATGCTGTTTGAGAATTGGCAGGGGAGTGTTTTTAAGGGGCCCCGCATTTGACATTTCTGCCCCAGGCCCCACAAACCCTAGGGCCGCCTCTGATCCGGTTACACACTTTTCAGCAAATTTCATTTTAAAAAACTGAGATGTGTCATACGAGAGGGTACGGTACTTTTCTTTTTGAAAGAATCAATTCAGCCTTTATTTGAGCAATTACTTTAGTCCGACTTTTCTGCAAAAAAATTCAATACATTGAAGCTTCTCTCATAATTAATTTTTAAGTGATTTCGAGAATTGTTTTAATTCTGTATTTTTTGTAATGGCTGAATAGTCAATTCTTGGTTCCCTTGCGACAATTCAGAGACATTTTTGAAAAGAATATGTTTTTTTCTCGCAATCCGAATGAAGCTGCAATTTTTTGCATCTTGTTTCTCAAAATTGATCCATCTTTCTAAATGCCATAGTTGGGTCGAAATTTCTTTGCGCGACGATTCAGAGAAATTTTTGTAAGGAGTTTTATTTCGTGCTTTCAGAGTGAAGCTGGGATTTCTTCAGTTTTCGCTTTGTTTTAATTGATTCATCTTTCGAAAATTAAAATTTTCATCTTGCGACGATAGAGAGAAAATTTCGAATGGAATGCTGTTTCATGCGTTGAGAATGAGGCTGCGATTTATTCAATTCGTTCTTAAAAGAAATTTATTTATCTCTCGTATGTTTTTGACTCGGGCTGGATTCGTCCAATGCAGCCTGTTCCACATAGCGGGTGACGTTTTTCTCCTCCTCGCTGTTCTTGCTCATGTCTTCCAACAAGGAATCGCTCACTCTGATCCTGGGGGTTCTTCGGTCCGGACTCGAGGTTGTGTTGGTGTTGGATTTCTCCCCGACTTCCTTCTCCATTTCAGCAATGATGGAGCGCAGTTCCGACGTTGTCACTGGGCCCTTGGCGTCGCGTTCCCGACTGTCAGATGAATCCGGTGAAGAGTCACTCGGCCCGAGGAAGTAATTGACGAATGGCGGCGGCTCCCATTCGGCGGCGGCATTTCCTGTGCAATTGCGAAATTTATGGCAGACTGAAGACTTTTCTTTTTGAGAGGCGAGTAACAACCATTATTTCATTTTACTGTACAGTAGGACACCAAAATTCACACTATCCCCTGATGGATCTAGGACAAATCCAGACAGACAATTGGAGACAGAGAGGATTTTGAGACAAGGACTATTGAGACCGAAGCATTTCCTTGGTGTTACTACTCTTGACCCATTGTAATACATATAAAGAGCATCAGAAGATCCTTTATAATTTTTTTAAATATTGGCAGAGGTAAACTGTGCAAAATATTATCTTCTGGTCATAAAAACTACGAAAATTTTTATACATAGCACCTTGTATTGGAAAAATCTACAGCACAAGTATTTTATTGGAATATTTTTATCAAGGCATATTTCAAATATTTACATTTTTAAAAGAATACAAAATTCCCCAAGATTCACAAATAATCTTGGGAAAACCAGAAAATCAAGAGAAAAATAAAAAAAAACTTTTGTATAGAGTTAATTTTGAACTGTCCCAAATTGTCCCTGTCCCTAAATGTCCATGTCTCCAATTGTCCCAGTCTCCAATTTTTTATGTCTTAAATTGTCCCTGCCTCAAATTTGCTGTCTTAATTTGTCCAGTCTCAATGTGTCTGTATCCCATCTCTGAAATGCAGACAATTTGACTAGGGGAGACTTATAATTTTTAAAAATCTGGACAATATCTCAACATACAACATTCTTACCTTTCCGACATTTCCAAAAAATTCTAAAAAAATTTTGAATCTTGAAGAAATTAAACTATTCACATTCACAAATATTGTACTAAACTAAAGTTAATTTCATAATTACCTTAATTCATAATCAAAACATATTATTTTGTGCTTCTTTTTTCACCTCTTACAGAAAAACATTATTCATCTATCAAACACTAGCTGCTCCGGAATTGATTAAGTTTATTAGTGGAAGCTTCACCATCCTAGAAAAAAATAAGAAGCGTCTTCAGTGAGTTTTCCTGGATTTTAACGACTTAACTTTTTTATAAATAGCATTTCCCTCTTTTGAATAAACGCTTGCACTGTTTTTAGACGTTGCGTAGTTGGAACATGAACCATACTCCAAGTGAAGAAAGTTTTTTTTTTCGCTTGTCTGTAATATGCTCTCTGAATTTATCATTTTCTCATTCTCCCGTAATCAAACCGTACCTCGAGTAACTTCAGTCCGTTCCGTATCTTTCAGCTCTTTTTTGTCCTGCTGAGAAGCCGTCGTCACTTCACTCAAGAACACGGAAGACGGTGGCAAGGAAGCTCCGTAGCCCATGTGGCCCATGTGAGGTTGTTTTCTGGGGTTGTGACTCACGAGATGCTCGGGGGTTTTCATTCCATCCGAGGGCTCGTCTGCTGCTGGGGGCATTTGGCTGTTGCTGGGTTGCCAGCCGTTGAAGCCCACGTTGAAAGGTGAGTTCGATGTGGGTTGACTGGGTTCGCGCGGCTGCTGATGATTGAAGGTATTGTTGGACGGATATGGAGGATTGCCGGGTGCAGCGGGTTGCATGATGTTGGCTATCAATGGGATCATGGCGTGTACCAGGGAACCCAGAGCATTCTGGGGATTCGAGAAGTGAAATTTTTGTTAGATTGCCTCTTTGTTCTATCTTTTTAAAATCAAAATGTTTGCACCAATAAGGTATGACGTGCGGACAATTTATTCTTTCTCCTTTTTGAGGTAGAGGTGGCTGGTGTACTTTGTACACTTTGTCCTCTGTTACTCAAACCCCCTTAATTCAAATACAGTACCTCCTTTTTTCAATTTTTTTCTTCAAGTCTTTGTCTGAATAAGCTTAGAAATAATACATTTGAAACTCAGTAACTTGAAGGCATTCCCCCTTCTAACCTCTGTAACTCAAATTTTCTGGAGGCCTTTTGTCCAGTACACTACTCAGAGTACTGCACTTACTCAAGTACCTAGTAAACCTTTTTCTCAAAATTAAGAGGGAAAGAAGACGTGCACAGTCATAGGCAGGTATACATTTTCAAAGTTTTAGAAATTTATGTGTGCATTATATTTGATTATATAATGGAAAACTTTGGACCAATTTTAATAAAAAAAGTGTCTGTAATGGAAATATTTGAAAATTAGTTGAATCCAGGATCAAATCATGTCTAAATCCAAGTTTTGGTGCATTTATTTTCTAAATACTGTACTGTATTGCAGTTTTATATCCATTAAAAATGGGGTGCATGTCTTATAATCAGGTATAGATTTTAGCTTTTAAAATGTAACTGAAAATCCCTGATGCATGCCTTACCTGATTGTACTGTTTTATTGACACAGGAAAGAGAAAAGCAATAAAAATGCAACTTGATTCATTTTGGAAGGAATTGATGAGAGACCAATTGGGCCAATGAACCCTTGCCTCCAAGTTCAGCATCCTTTGAACTCATTTTATTCAAGGTCCTGAAATATCACCAATTGAAATTTCCTGTAATTCTTTCCTTTCTCCCCTTATCAAAGTACATTTGCATCGCGTTTCTCTTTGCAGTGTCAATAAAATCACAGCCAAAGGCCTCCAGAATTTTCTATTTTGGAATGTTTTAAAAGAATTCTCTTGAGTCAAAGAAGTTTTCAATGAATTGTTTCTGAGGGACTCTAAAAATTGGGATGCAGAAGTTTTTGGCTTAGTGAGGTTTGAGTTATCAAGGTTCAACTGTGCTTGGTTCACTTTAAATGGGTGGGAAATCTATGTCTCATTCTCAATTCACATTTTAATTCATTCAAGATTTTGCTTGTCATTGTCAACATAGATCATCCAGATTTTATGGGATTACAGTATTCAGTTACAGAAATACATTCATTCGTACATTAAGGAACAAGGCTTTTGAAGTCACTTTTTGAACCAAAAAGCTTGTGCCTCAATGAGATAAGAATCTGGCTTGAAGGTTTTCCAGATTCTTATCCAGATATATTATTTTCCAGAATCTGACACAAAGATTTTCCTGATTCTTATCACTAAAAAAAATTTAGATTTAGAAAACTTTCAATATCTCATGATTCAATAGTTGAATTAATTTTTGCATGATATGAGAAAAGTTAATGAACATCTTCAGCTTTCATTTAAGACCATGTGGATTATTGCAATTTCAAAATTGTTGGAGTCATGTAATTTGGAATTTCATGCATTGTGAGTTGCACCATACACAAAAAAGTTTTTGTTCAGTCATATCAATTCTTTTTTGAAACAAGTTTTTATTCCACAATTCAAGATTGTATTTGATGATTGTGAATGTGGTTGTGTCTCTTACTACTTGTGATCAAAGACAACAAGAAGTCCTCTTTCAACATCCAAGAAGTGAGGATGCTCCAGCCTAATTTATTTTTGCAGCCATATGAATGTATATTTGTTGTTTAAATTAAAATCCCTTGGAGGCTGACTGCCTCATCACTCAGATGTCTCTTTTGCCTGGAATTTGTTTTTTTTTTGCTTGAAATCTGTAATAATAGTTACCCTAAGCTTTTTTTTTACATTTTTCTTCCTCAGACATCCTAATTAGGATGTCCAACCTGATCATGAAACTGAGCTTGAGGCAATAGTTGACTGTGATACGCCGTGAAGCCGTCATTCCGTGAGCTTGATGCCATTCCTTGCTGGATCCCAACAGAGTTGTGGAAGGAAAACGGGACTGGGACTCGTTCTGGAGTGTGATGAAGAGCAACGTTTTCGATGGCCACTTGAAGAACATGAGCACCACGACCGGTTACCAGCAAGTTCCTGATCTTCTCCACTGGAAGTCGGTAAGCGAACACTCCGACATCCACTCCGTTCACTTTCAACTGCGATACAAAGTCGATACTGTGGTTCAGCATATACTGAAGCACCGTACTTACGAATTCCGGAATTCCACTTGTGGTGTTTGAGGGGTATTCATTTTTTTTTTTATTGGTATAGATATTGAAATGGCATATGATTGTGCTGAAAAACAATTGTTCCAAAAAACTGTTATCCTATTTTTACAAAAAGATTGTGAGTCAATATATAAGTAAAAATAATATAATATATTCACATAAACATACAAACTTCACAATACAAGTTTGACAAGCACAAAGAGACAAGATTTCTGATACAGCAGAAATCTTCCCAAGAATCTGGCTTCAACCAAAGAGATTTGGGTCTTGAACCACTATTGTTTACTCTAAGGGAGTCACACAGATTCTGATGAGGTGGAATCATAGCTAGCATCAATACACCAGAGACAGGGAAGCACCTGCATGTCTCTGGGGGAGAGGGACTGCTGGGAGGTCAGGAATGAGGGTCTGCACATGTGCATACTATTGAGCAACACTGGGTGTGGGGAAACTGGCATAGGAGTGGGTCAGGGCATTCCCACACAGGAAAATAAACAAGGTGAGCACAGGAAGGAATACAGCTGAGAATACTTCAGCTGAAACAAATGGGTTTACTACTACAGAAGGTTAACTGAAATATATTGAACATTGAAGAAGTCTTGTTCAACACTTGTCATAACAAAACATTCTTTGATGAAATAAAAAAGTTAGCCTTGTTGGACATTCTGTATTTTCAGAATTGTTTTGCAAAGGTCGCCCTTGGGCAGCTTATTATTTCTGCTCTTTGCTCAGAAGATCCATCTTGCAGATTTTTTTTGGTGTAGCCCAGCTTCTTCATAATTCCTGAAATTGGCATGGTTCTATTTCCAAGGGTGTAGCCGCCATTGATTGAGTACAGTATTAATTCTGCCATTTTCATCAACAGCTGCCACTTGTGATGGGAATGTGGCGCCTGTTGATAAAAATGGCGGCATCAACTTGGAAGATTTGCTAGCAACTCTTGGAATTGTTTCCATCTTAATTTCAAAAATTCTGAATCATGAACTGCTGGGCTACACAAAAAAATCTGTGAGATGGATGCCTCACATTTTGAGACAAGACCAGAAATCAGCCAGGGTGACTTTTAAACTCGAAAAAGACTAATATATGTCAAACAGGCTGCTTCTCTTTTTTTACTGTGAAAAAGAATGTTTTTTTTCTGAACATTGATTTCCAGCTCAGTTGTATATCATTTCATTTTCCATTTCAAGAACTTTTGTGAGACACCTTGTATGTAAGGAGTTTTGACAGTCTCTGCTGTGATACACAGCAAGACTACTAAATGATTTTTCCGAGTGTGTGGGTGGAACCCTGTTACCAGAAACTTCTGATGGGACCAAGGGAAAAAATTGTTCTCATTGAAATCTCCGGCGGGAATTGTGACATATTTTCCCTCAAAAAATTATCCCCAACCCCAGATTTTTTTCTTGAAAAATCACGAACATTTTTGAGTAAAACAAAATTTTTCAACAGAATATCGAAGTACGTCACCATATTAGAAATAGCAATTATTTGCCAGTGCAAATACTGAGGAATCTTCCTGTCTCTCATATCAAAAAAATGAAAATTGAAGCAAAATCCCTAAATTCAAATAATTATATTATTTCCATATACTTCACTGTATTATATTACTCCATGTATTATATCACAGTATTCCATATATAAAGACTTGGCAAATATTTTCCAATAAAAATACAGTATTGTAGATATTTTCTTATTTCTTACTGAATAATAAAAGGAAAATTGGAGCGAAGTTAACAATTTAAAATGATTATAGTTTTCTGGATAAATCACTAAAAGAATCAATTGGTTGCACTGAATCTTGAAATTTTGTTGCAACGCATTTTAGCCCTTTTTTGTGATATCCATGCCACAGAAGCAGGAAAAGAGAAATATTTAATGCAGATTATGCAGTATGGTACTGTATTTTCTCCAGTACCACACATCCTTGATGCACAACTATATTTTCTATGTCAAAATTCTGATAAAATCCTATCTCAGAGTCAGATGCACTGCCCATTTTTCTGTGACTGAAAAACAGCAAAATTTTAGAAATAATTTTCACCAAAATCTGAATCTTATCATCGATCAAGCCTGAATTCAATAATAATTTCAATCGTTTCCATTAAAATTTATTTTATTTTGCAATTGGTCAAAAATTTCACATTAAAATTTAAATATCCCACGCACCTGAACTTCTAAAGAAATTGCAAATATTATACCTGCTTATTATGCATTTTGAGAAAAAAATTGCTTGTGATACAGATATGTACTGTACTTCGATGAATGCAGTACTGTACATTTAAATTTTTGTTTTCATAACCGATGAGTTGAGCTGTTCTTGACTCAAATGTAAAATTTAGTTTTTAATACTTTCGAGTGTTGAGAGGATATTACAGTAAAAATCATCAGGTAATGTACAAGGTACAACTAGCGAAAGCCTCCCTGGTTCTCGGGAACCGCGTAAATCCAACAGGTTCGTTTTCTCTCGCATAGATGTCGCCAAAGCATGAAGGAAACTGGCTTCGTAAGTCAACGGGGATTTTGCCTTCGAAGAACTTGGTCTAGTTTTCCGAAACCTGTACATTCTTGACAAATCTTACCTTGAAAGCATACAGAAGACATTCGAAGGTGAGAAGGAACCTTTCCCGCGGGGCGAGTGGGAACCCGATGCCCGATTCCTTGACACTCCATTCCCCTTGGATGAAGCTCTTGCAGGAAATGGTGCGGAAGGAGAAAGAAATGGTGCATTGAATGGCTACTTCTCCGGGATTGTGATGTGTGGGGTTGCCCTCGGGATCGCAAGTCAGGGCAACTCTATATCTGTCGTCGATTCAGTATTTGATGGTTAACCAATTCAAGGAAGTGGAGAAGCATAGTACACTGATGATGAGGTGCGCTGTTCTTGAATAAGTACAAAGTGCAGGTGGTTCTTTGGAATCCAACCCTAATCCATTGCTGGACAATAGGGTCAAATTGCAAAGCAGTTGAATTGCCAGATAACATCAAATGGGTTACTTTCTTGTTATCTCTGTACCTTCCCTCTGACCAATTTAACCTGACCTACCCTAGCTTCACCTAACCGCCTCCCAAAATCAGTTTCTGCTTTCTTTGGGTTTCTGCTGAAACTGATTTTGGTTAGGTCAGGTTATCTTAGTTAAAATATATTTGTAACTAACATAACCTGACCTAACCTAATTTTACCTAACCGCCTCCCAAAATCAGTTTCAGCAGAATGCAGAAAAATAAAATTCACAGTTTCTGATGGGTTGTAGTGATAATGAACTCATCCTAAAGATTTGTCTGGATGGTAGTGCAGTCTAGGAATGAGGTACAGAGATAACAGGAAAGTACCTCAAATGGCACATTTTCTAAATGGCATTTGACGTTTCATGTCTCTCCCCAGGTCAAATTGAAAGGCAAGAGGTCAAATTGAGAGTTGACCTCCCAGAATATTTGACCATCAAATTGCGGGGTGGTCAAATTGCAAGGTACCACCTGTACTGTTAATTGATTTTGAGGAAAATCAATTACTGTTTGAGGCAATTATTGATGATTAATTCATCCTGGTCACATTTTACGCTGCTTGCAAAAGGGGTGATATCCAGAAGGTTTGAGACTTTTTGGAATACGCCCAAAAGAGTTAAAAAAAAACATTTTACTGACATAGCGTCCCATCATTTGGCAACACTTCTGCGCTGTTCATAATGTGCTCTTGACAGCAAATTTTACTGCATTTTTCATGCAATAAATCCAAACAGTGCCAAAAATCGAGTTCTGTTACTTGATTAGGCACCTTATATAACTTCTGGATGTTCCAGACATCAAAGAACACCTGAAAGGAATTGATTTTGAGGAGGTCAACAGCCTCTTACCTACCTTAGAAGAGCAGCTTCATCAACTGACCAAATTCGATTTTTGGCACTGATTTGATGGTTGGAAATTGCATTGAAATTGGCAGAGAGCATGTTGGAACAGTGTTGCCAAATTATGGATTATGCAAAACATATTCTACTTAGTTGTATCTGTTTCAAAAGTCTCAAAACTTATGAAGCAACCCATGGTCTGCAAACTGGCGCTGGTCCTAAGAAGTTATTTTTTATAGTCCACAGGGAAATGTTCTTCAGCATAATAAACTTATAAGAAGTAGCAATGAAGTCTGTTGTGCTTATCTGAAATCTTGTAAAGACAGTGACAGTTGAAATTCTCTGATGAACATTGGCTTTTCTCCTAATAGCACCTCAGACAAATGTTCACATATTTAAATAAATTATTTCAATGTTTTGTTTGGAGAAACACTTCTTCAAGCCCGCCTTTCTGATTTATGAAGACATTCCACCATAAATGCTTCATTGGTTCTTAACATGACTTTTTCAAAAAAGCACAAAATACCTGACAAAAGTCTTTCAAGCGAAATTATTTCAAGTCTGTGAAAATTCAATGAAACTTTGCCAGTCCACAAATAATTTTATGGAAATTTGCTGGTCCATGGGCAAAAAAAGGTTGGGGAACACTAATTCTAAGATACTGTACATCGTAATTTTGTTGCAGCAAAGAATTTAAAACGCTTTGTTAATGTGAATACACAAATGTGTTGAAATAAAATTTTCAAAAACATAATGGCTTTTGATGGGTCTGTGGGCCCAAAATGTTGGGTTACACTGCACAAGAAGTTTGGGTACAGTTAAACCTACCTTAAATTGACTTGCAATAAAATTAGCGAGGCAGTAATTTTTTTTTTTACAAATTCAGAATAGTTTGGGAATATATTTCAAAAACTATTTCACGACGACTTCAAACTATGGATTGCCAAAAAAATTAGTACGTGACTTTCTTCAGTCAAAATGGCACTGCTGCACTACAGTGACGAATTCAGTATGAGAAAGTACGGTAATAATGAAGATAAAAGCTGTTTCGAAGTACAGCACAGTACTGTACTCGTGATCTTCACTTCAGCGAGTGTTGCACCACGGCTTGGTGGGAAACTGTGCTAGCGAATATTTTCAGTGACATCATTACCCGTGGTTAATTATAAATAACATATACTCACTCATCCGATAATTGCCAGTCATCGTATGAACCTTCCAAATGCACCACGGATCCATTCGACAAGCCTCGCGGAACACGGGTGAGAAAAACCAGCTCGGGGTTAACTTGCTGCAAAAAAAAAGAGACGAACATTTTGACTGATACACCGAGTCAGTTCGTTAGTTTTCTCAAGAACTTCATTCGTACCATAATTATCTTTTTTGCGGAATACTGATTATGGGATTAAGGATTGATTCCGTGCTCTGGTTATGCCATACAGACGAGATGAAATTTCAACAAAGGTCGAAGGAAATCTTGGCGATTCTGCGGATTGAACTTTTTCCGTGTGAAACCTAACCGAAAACTCAGAAAGAAAGAAAAAAAATTCGAAATTAGCACGATGATGTGTTTTCTGTTCGTTCGTGAATATCGAATTTTATCTTCTTCTTTTGATCGTCGAGAAAAATCGTCGAGATTTTTCTTGTTCAGTGTTTCCGTTTCGTGAGTTTCTAATCCTAAATATTCCTATTTTTAAACTTGAATACTTCAAATCTAAAGTACTGTATATCTAATTCTAACAATGTGACAAATTTAATTCGAACTGTGACAGGAAAAACGCTCGATTTATTTGAAGCGCCAGATGAAACTACTGTATATCAAACGGCGAAAACCACGCGATCACTGCGACATTCATCGGATCCTCGTCTTTCTTGAAAAAAAAGAAGAAAAATTCATTCGGTTTTGCTGTCGTGACACGACATTTTACTTGAATGGAAACAAACTTTTAATGTATAATTATTAGCTCTTGATTTGAGTGAAGATTTATTGTTGTTCCGAAGTACATGATACGGCGGTTATCTTCGAAGAATCCCTGATCACTCCATCAACTTATGAAAATATAATTCTCGGGAGATTAATTGCCAATTTCTTCAATCTTTCGAGAAAATGTCGGTCGTTTTCGAGAAATGGGAATCCTTTATTTGTTTGTGTTTATTGGAGTGAAACCTGCACCTTATTTTTTTTGGAAATCACGATGAAATAGAAGAGGGTGCAGTACTTCATCGAAGGGTACGGGACTGTATAGTATTAAATTTTCAAACCTTTGATGCTTGTCATATTTTATTCCAATTCAGATTTTCTCAACCATATCTGTGGAATATAGAAAAAAGTGAAGCAATGAAGAAATGACGCTTACTTTGATTGAAATTCAAATAAATAAGTGCAATTATATGATGCATTTTACTTTCTAAGCATTGTGAATTTCAGTCTCTAAAAATGAATCGCGTCTCTTGATCACGTAATATTTTGGTAAAATTGTCAAAATTGATTCAAGTACCTTTCTGAATTCCGTTAGAAACACAGCGTTATAAAACCTCCCTAATTTGAAGGCTTTCCACCTCAAACCTCCATATACAGAAACTCAGAATTTCTGGAGGCCGCTTGGTTCTTATTTTATTGACACAGGGAAGAGGAAAGCAATAAAAATGTAACCTGACCCATTTTGAGAAGAAGTGAAAGACAAAATATGCAAATGAACCCTTGCTTCCAAGTTCAGCATGTTGTCCACGCATACATTCTAAGAGTAATACAATGCCAAGAATATCAAAAATAACCATCTCCTGCAATTCTTTACCCCGTTCGATTAATATGTTCAAACTAATCGATGTTCATATTAATCGAACATGTAAAAGCTCGTTAGAAATTGCGCCTCCCTTGACAAATTGATGCGTTTTCGTACCAGAGGGATTGAACAAGGTTCGGGTAGAAGCTGTCTCGAATTTTTCTGGTCTTCCGAGGATTTACTGTAGACGAATAGAGCATGGATTTTCTTGCGCCAGTGATTTTCAACGTTCATCGAGAACGTGGGTAGAATTAATACTGGTGCCTCTCATGGAGAAGTAAAGCGAAGGGGAGATGTTTTCCTTCGGCTTGCTCCCTTCCATGCGAGCGTTCGTTGAAGAGCAGTTCGGGTGGAATGAAAATTGCGCCGTTCACAGATAAATAGGCGGAGAAAAACACGAAGCAAGTCAGTGACCATGCAAGTCAGTTAAGGTGGCTTGAAAGAATCCTCTTTCCCCCCCCCCCCCGAAAATCCAGCGTTGAAGTTGTTCCACGAGTAATCCACTGCGTGGACGTGCGGGAAAATTTTCCTTCGTTTCTCTCACGTACGCCGCGAGTTCGAGGTCTATGAAGTGCAACTCAGTCTTTTTAAGGGAGGGTAACCAAAAGTAACGGCGTTCGAGCAACTTTCGAAGAACAATCATTTTCGTGCTGGTAATCGAACGAAAGCCTCATATGTCACGATTAGGATCGAGTGACTCTCGTTCTCCTAGCGTTTCGCACAACGGTCGATCGTGATCGTAACATTTTCAGATTCACTCGGTTTACAATTCAATTCCACGGAGAATCCGATTTTATATGAAATACGCTCACCTGTCACTGAGTTGCACGTATAGAAACGTTCACGGTGTTCCATCTGCATTTAACGGCGCAGTGAGTTCAAATCAGGATTCCGCGTTTCCTTCAAGAAAATGAACCAACGCAGCCTCTTTTCCAGCGAATTTTTATTTCCCCAGTTTTTCCGAACACTACGTCGCCGAACCGACTTGCTGAATAGAGAACAAACCGATAAACCGCGCATCAAACAGTCTGATAAAAAAGAATCGGACCACCCATGATATCGAGCATTAAGCATTACTGTTGCTCACGATCGAATGACTGCAATAATTCTTTTACAAATGCATAATTGCTGATTTTTTTTTTGGCTCCCATATTACGTTAACTCTCTCGTGAAACAATTCAATCTCCCGGTAAATCTTGAATGGGTGCATGATTCCGAATCGGATGACATCGCGTCATGACGCACGCCGTCACTGAATAACTCACAGAGCACCCAACAAGAGAGTCGAAGCGTGTTGTAATAAACATTTTCAACTTAGGCTGACGCACATGAAGAAAACTGTTTTTGGACATACTTCCTCAGAGAAATTCCTGAAACGCCAATGAAAATGAAGTGGCAAAGCCGCGTACTACTTGGTTCAATGGTGGTGCTGCTCTTGGCAGGAGTCCTGGTCTCCACTTCACCGGTTCCGGATGATCAGCCAGATACAGAAAATTCTGCTGGAGATGAGTTTCTATGACTCAACAGTAAACGCCAAGGGTCTTCTCAACAAATGTATCAGAATTGTACAACAGTAAAATTACTGCTGAGTACAACATTTCAAGTACAATACCTCAAATGCTCAGCGTTTGAGAAAGTGTTGAAAGTCTTGACCAAACATTCGGAACAAATGAAAATTCAGGAGCTTTCGGTAGAATAAGGAACCTTTTGGGAGCTCATGCAACGGAAAGTAATGCCTCAGACATTAGGCACTCAGGCTATGTGATCATATACACCTTCAATAAGTTAAACTCCCGAACTTGGAATAAAAAAATAAAAATCACATGTATTACATGCACTTCAAATGAACTATAATTAAAGTTCAGCGGAAGACTAAAGGTCAAAGTGTAACTCAGTTTTTGGCAAAAGGTAACCCCAGCATGTCTTCAGAAAAACTTGAAACCCAGAGAAACTTGAAGACGTCGCAGAAAAAAAAACGAAACAGATGGCGCTTTCACCATGTACATCAGCCACAGTTAAGTGCTTCACTACACACCCTCCCTCTCTGTCACACTTATTGATGCACATCATCAGACGAATTTCAACGTAGTAGTATGAACGAGGGAAGACGACAAGCCCCATCACTCGATGTAAAGATTTCCCCCTGGCACATTCCCTGAGCTCAGTGACCAGCTGCCAATCGTTGATTTCGCTGTGTTCTTGCGATCATCTTTCGTACATTATCTTTTGCACCATCCTACTGCCTGAATCAGATCGTGTCAATCATCGAATATTCACCATGCCGCGAAAATAATGGTCCACTAAAGACAGTTCGCGATAATAATTCGCTCATCATCTCAGCCTCGTAGTCGGACGTTCGTTTCACTGTAACACATACAAATTCCCTCCGTATTCGTAATTGAAAATACTACAAATCTAAAAGAGAACCGAAGACTATATATTTTTCGGCATACTGTAATTATCCGTGTGTTCTGTGATGCTGCCTTTATCCTTCCCTTGATGATATTTATTCGCGCAAGATGAATCATGAATTTTGCCTTCTGGATCTTCACTATGCACAGAAGCCATTTGCTTATCGTTCCCATTAACAGCAGCGGATCTTTTCATTTCCAACACTTTCCCGCACCCTCATGATAACAGATAACGCGAATTAAGCTCGGATCAACGCAATGAATAAGCGAAGACATGCGCGACTCAATACTGATTTGAAAAATTCTTGGTTTAAAGCAGAAATATATATTCGTGGTGTCGTGATCTTCTTTGCGCATGCGTCATCCTCACAGCAGCTATACATAGAATCCTCTCAACTCCGTTTTTCGTCCGCTGCAAAAAATGGGCACCCTACTGGCATTTCTTCCAAAGGTGGGGGGGGGGGGGGGGGGGGGGGGGGGGGGGGGGAGGAGAGTAAGGGCCAGCGACATCTATGCCGCACACCCTCCTACTTCCTTCTGTTGGCGTGCTCTCGCATCCTTGACTCTTTCCCGCCGCACCAGCCATGCCAGGCCGCCAGCAACGCCTGAGCCTCAGTTTCTTGCCAGCTGCAACCCAAGTAGGCAAGTAGCACCTCAAACTCGAGCTAGTAAATTAACCAACCATCTTCCTGAAAAACTTGTACAGAATCATTTGTGAAGCATCAAATTACATTGAGTTTGTACTGCCCTCAACAATTGTGTTTGATTTTCGATGCTCGCAATCCTTACTTGCCAATTTCTTCAATCTTTCAAGAAAAGTTTGGTTGTTTTTGAGATATTGGAGTCCCTTATTTATTTTTTTGAGTACAACCTGCACCTTTTTCTCTTGAAATTACCAGGGAATACAGGGGGGTGCAGTAGTTCATAGAACGGTACAGTACTGTACAACATTTTCAAAGCTTTGATGCATGTCATACTTTAATCCAACTCAGATTTTCTCAACCGTATCTGTAGTACTGTATATTAAAAGATTAAAGCAATGTAGAATTAACGCTTGATTTGATTGAATTTCAAATTAATAAGTGCAATTATACTGCATTTTACTTTCTAAGCATTGTAAA